TTTTACTAATCCAACTAACAGAATGAATCTTTATTGAGATATCAATAGTATATTTTTCAGATTACAAGAACAATTTGTATAATCTTTTAAACTACCCATTCCTAGTCAGGTTCATCAATTTTATCACATAATGCACTATTTTTGTCAGTTACCCTGCTATGTCCAGAACTATAGTATTCCAAAGATCTACTATGGACTTCTTATTTTAATCTTCAAATGACTTGTTGAATTTGTTTCTTAGCATGGTCTTGTTGCCACTTGATAAGGATAGATATCGTGAATAATCCTTATCATGTATAGTCCTCAGAGGACTGGTCCTAATCTTGACTATTCCATATATAGTGGTCATATGTTGATATCCAGATGATTCAATGGTATACTACATAGGTGACATATAGTCTTCCATTGCGACTGTTTTTAACCACTCTCCAATATAACCTATAGGGATATTCCTTGATCAAATGGGACCTTAGGTCTCTTCCAAATGTGTCCACCTACTACAGTTTCTATTATAATGTTAATGCTAATTACTAATATTACTGCAAGCTGTTCTCTCTGATAGCCATTGATTTTATGATCCATAGGATTTTTTATTAATTCAAGTTTGTTATAGCTCAATATATTTTTGACTAGTGCAAATGACTGAAGTCTTCCAAATCTCACATAAGGATAGTTTTCAAGAAGAGATAGATGTTCACATTTTCTGTTGGAGGCATAGATCAATCAGAATTGATTCCTGGTTTTCTTTTGATATCTTTATATATTTTGAATAGCAAGGATCTTTTCTTTTTCTTGATACTAAAACTGACTAGGACCTGTGTGACCTATTTTATTATACTATGGTCGAATAGTAAGTTTCTATAGGTTGTTTATATTCAAGTGTGCATGTGGCTAATTAGCATACATTCTTGTATAATGTAACCTATAATGCAAATACTATTCTAAAGTGGGATTAAACCAATAACTTGGGAATGGTAACCTGAGAGCATATCTATTGTGTTATTGATATACAGGTTTACTATATATAATTAAATATAGAATATAAATACAGTATATTATATTATTAATAATATAAAAAAACAAGTCTGAATAAAATACAATAGATAAAAAATAACAATCTTCTTTTTCTTTTCTTCTCCTTCAATAAATATAATTATAAGAAAAAGATTATAAAAAATAATATTTTTTAGGAAAGTTTTTTAATATTTGTTGTCTATATATTAGAAACAAATTTATTATTTAATTAAATAACACTATATTTTTTTAGAAAAGTTTTAAATAACTTATATTTAAAATTTTTAGTTAAGTATTAATAAAGTTAAGATTTCATATGAGAAATTCTTAATATTAATAGTACTAGATATTATAAATAAATCTTTAGTATATTGTTTTTCTTTTAATTTTAAAAGTAGTAATAAGTTACTTGATAGGTTATAATAATATAATCATAGAAATTACTAATATATAAAATAAAAAATTAATATAATATAAGTCTTATATTTTCTACTATTTCTTGATTTTATTTATATAAGTAAAATATCTATATAAACAATTATATAATTGTATTATTGTAGTTGAATAAAACATAAATAATTTACTTTCTATATTATTTAAAATTAGTAAATCTTTAGATAGTGTGAATAATTATTTATTTTAATTATTTCTAGATATTTTTTTTACTTTAATAGGCTAGTAGTTATAAGAATTGCTTTTGTAAAACAAACTGTACATTCTGTAATATCTGATCAATAAAAGTCCAGTTAGTATGATTAGTTAAAAAAAAAAGACTTATAGATCTATAGCACAGTGGTAGTACTTTTAGGTTATAATCACAAGGTCCAAAGTTCAATATCACATGAAGGCCAAGTGAAAAATTAAATTATAGGTGATATAAAGATCTTATCTTCTCTATAACAATGATTAAAGTATTTCGACAAGGAAATAAAGAGAACCTATTTACTTATTATGCCTATAGTAAGAATGATAAAGCAATATAATATTTTATATAAGGTTAGTATAAATAATATGAGTTCTTAATACAAAACTGGTTCTCAAGTACCCAAACAAAAAGTAAACAAGGATTTTATTTACCTATTATAGCCATAATAAGATAAACAATACAAAGTTCTCAAATGTGACTTAATAAGTGATACAATGTCCTAACTATAAACTAATCACATCTTCTAATATTTAAGAAAAAGAACCCGATCACTCATAGAAATAATCAAATTTGCATATATCAAAACAAGAACCAGCCCTATATGATCTTAAAAAATCACAAGATAAGTTCTACAAAGGCAAAACGGAGTTATATAACATTCTTGATATAAGATCAAGCTTTTAATCAATAGTATATAGATATCAAATATATGGCAAGCTTCTTAAAAAAAATCTTAAAGCACTAATGGAGTCAACAAGAGATTTCATATAAGAGATTCTCAATATTAGTGATTTTGAACATCTTAAGCAAATTCTTGATATATTTATTTCTTTAAAAATAAGAAATAGTAACAAGTCGTCTGGTAAATCACAGTCCTAGGAAGTATTGTTTCAGGTAATAAAGGTATTAATATAATGGAATTACTTTATTAGATTAAATGTATAAGATTTCTCTGATCCTTAGCTTAATTAGAATTAAGAAACAGTCCTATATTAAATGGTCACATAGTTACCTTATTCTGGTTAGGTGAGATGTAAATAGATGCCTCTTATATTATTCATTAATCTGTAAATTCTTAAACAGTATAGGTAATTACCCATCCCGGTTGTCTTTAGGACTTATTTTAATTATAATAAAGTTTTTGAACTGATGCAGAAATGAGCTAGTGTTTAAAAAAAAAAAGCATAATAGATATATATCTGTAAATTAATAATACAGTAGTTATACATTCAGATTACAATCACAAAATTTATAGTTTAATACCACTTAAGAGCCAAAATCAAAAATTATCTTTTAATTGGATTTACTGTTTATCCTATAAATATTATATTCAATTATTTTAAACAAACTTTAATTAGATTAGGCTCATAAAAATGTGACTTTTGACCTTTTATTAATCAATGATTGAGATCTACGATTATATTACTGAAAAAATTACATGAAGAAAGGCTTTTGATTTAAACTATCATAAATATTTCAAAAACTCTTTACCTTAATAATCTTTAGAATTCATATCCTTCTAGTTTAAAATATCCTAAAGTGATGCTTCACTTAAATAAAAATTAATCAACTAGAATTGATCCAATGTCATAGATAATAACAAAGAAAATAAAGTATCTTCTTTTAAGATTTGAGTAAATAATATTTGAGAGTATTAGAGGATATATCAAATTTTATCAGATATATACTATATAATCTAGTTTAGTAAAATATAATGCAAATATTTATAATCTTAATACTAAATTAACCTATCTCATTATCGATAACTGTGTATTTGACTGTTTGATCCTCATATTAGATCTATTCAACTCACAAAGTAATAGTAGGTCTATTTAGAATAAACTACAATAGGTTATTATTAATCTGTATATATATATAAATATATAATTTGTATAGGATAATTGATATTATTGCTCATGATTTAATTATCAATAAAACAATTTGCATTTAATACTAGTTGTGGTTTAAAAAAAAAAATAGTTAATAAAGTATAGTGATTATGTTTAATAATTAATTTAATAATAATAAATAATAAATAAATAAATATTATTATCAATATTATTATTGTTATTATATAAAATTATAAAATATAAAAATAATATTATATATATAGCCTAATATTTATAGCCAAAATATTTATCCAAAAAAAAAAAATTAAAATAAATATAGAAAATATTATGCATAAAAGTTTTTTTTTCAATAAAAAAAAAAATTATAAAAAAAACTTTCTTTTTTTTTTAATAATAAAATATTGCATACAAAAAATATTTTTTAAATAAAAAATTGAAAATTGAAAATTGAAAAAATTTAAAAAAAAATTTTTTTAAAAAAAAATAACTCAGTGCAGCCTGGGTCTACTTGTTATTTTAACATATAATCTAAATTAAAAAAATTAATATTCGATATAGATTATTTGCTGTATTTAATTTAAAACTTTTAAAAAAATTAAAATCAAAATAAATAACCACAGCGCATAGCCCGGGCCTATTCGCTAGTCTTATAAAACTATTCACTTATTTGAAAGTATATTAGTAAAGTTTGATCTCTGTTAATAATAAAAATAAAAAGCTTTGACAAATAATCTTTTTAAAAATATTATTTTATTTAAAATATTACAATTTCGTTTATTGATAAAATAATGTATAGTCTAATTATAATATACTAATTAAAAAATCGAAAATATTTACAGCATTTCAAAATTCAATGCACATCTCTTGGGACTAGCACTTACGGAATTCAGCAGAACGAATCAATTGGTTCCGGTCAGAATTAATTTAAAACGGTGTTGATCTGGAATTTAGCAAAAAAGTATATTTATAGAGGGCAAAAAAACATTTAGTCCTTCAAAGTAATCGTCAGTTTCGCAAAGGGTCTAAATCCAGAAATACCGTTAGAAAGTAAAAATTCCGATAGCATAAAGATTAATTATATTTACCCGTCGGTAATGCCTCCAGATACACGGTAAAATAAATTAGTAGGATTGATAAGATCTCCAGGATATCTTCGATTTTCTTTTGTATGTAACATTTTGTAAAAAAGATGACTATTTTTCCTTTCGGGTAACTGATCGCGTATGCTAACGGTTAATGAGTTTCTCCCTCTGATCATATTATTTTTAACCTATTTTTCAACTAAATGCGTCATAATTTCTAAGCTTTTAAACAATAAACAACATAATAATACCTACAGCCCATGTTATCACAAGGTAATGATAATTATCTTCTTCGTCTTTCACTTTAAACGATAATATGCCCCTCGAAACGAATATATCGGATAGTTGTCTGATTTGTAATTAAAAGTTATTATGCTGTACATCGATCATAATAAAGATTTGAGTTTCCTACCCATTGTCGTTATTTAAAGGGTCGATATCACTTAATAAGTCTTCAACTTTGCTCCCAGTGAGAAATTGAGGATCGTGAAGTTTTAAAATACTGTGATCATTATTAATATTGACTTCTAAGCTTACATTCACGCCTCTAATAATCACATTATACACTTTAGCGAGCATATCGCATAAATTATCCGGTTTAATGATATCCATTTTGGCGATAAAAGAGTGAAGCAGAAAAAATACATTTCTTCCTTTTTATAATTGATTATCATGATGCCTTACAAGCATCAAGCTGCCTTCCATCAATATAATAGGGGTATAAATTTTATAAATTTTATGAAAGACGTTCGGTCAACGGAGTTTTTTCCTAGTGATCAACAAAATTTTCAACAAGCAGCATGATTGAATCAACTATGTCTAACGGTTTTTAAAAATTTATAGTCCTTTCTATTTCGGAACTCCGTAAGCCAAACATTTACTAAAGCATAATCGTAAAGTAGGCGCAGAAAGCGCAGAAGTCACGCCAACTTATTGAGTAATCATAAGCTTGAATTTATACTTTGTGATTTTCAATGTACAGTACGCGCAAATTCGAAAATCTGTAAATCTATCCCAATAAAAAATTTTAGTATGAAAAATTCAATTTATCATATTGACAAAAAACAAAGATATTTTTCGAGTGTATAACTGTTACTATTAATAAATTAAGTTAAACTATTTTCGCGTTTAAACATTATATTAAAAAATTATTATAAAATTAACGTTAAAATTAATATATTTTTATAAAATGATAGTAAATTTATTTAATAATATACAGTATCCTTACACAATATATCGCTTGAACTATTCATTGAATGTACCGAGCAAAATAAGCGAAAATAGTGCAGATAAAAAATAAAAATGATATTGAAATAATAGCGTAAATTGCCATAACGCTATATTACGGGATTTATAAGTATGGTTTTTATAAATCAGATAGAAACCTTTCTAAAAGTCGTTTGACACCCGGTCCTTAAGTTTTTTTCGATCATTTTGTACGGATAGAAGATTTGTATTTCACCACCCATATTTTATTCTCAAAATGTGTTAAATCGGGGACCACTTCCAAGGTCTATCGATGGTCCAAGTTTTACCGGGCGAGTGAAAAGGCGAGAATGGTGATTCAACTAATCTACAACTACTCTACGTATAGTATATGGGAACAAACCAGCTTAGATACACATACTAACCAATTACGATATGCATAGAAGTTTAAGCTTCAAAAACTCTTCTGTTACAATCAGAACCTCCACCTGTACTCAAGGAATATGCTTATCTAACTTGGCAAGCAAAAGAGAATCCTAAATCCTTCACTCGGAAATGCTAGTAAAAGCTCATGAGGACAACAATTCTTCCACTCTTCGATAATACTAAAAATCATCTTCCAACTCTTCTTCAGCTCTACAGATCAACAAAATTCTAGACCCGCTGACTTTAGGAGGATACTAGATGTCGTATGAGGTATAAAACGTTCCTTCACCGTACGTCCTGGAAGGAATGTAAAAAGAAAAGGAATTTACAAAGATCTTTATTATACTCAAGGAAAGTATTTATTCTGTTATGAATATTATGGGGGGTATTGGTTTTGTTACCGGCATGCATTGTTGGTACAACGTTGCGCGAGAATAAAATAACAAAACCGCAAAGGTCGAAGGCAATCAAGGAATTAAAAGCGATTCATGAACATGGAACCATAACGTTAACGAAGATGTGGCTTCGGGGTGGCAAGCTGGACAGATAAAAAAAAGAAAACTTTATGATGAAGAATGGCTCAAATAATCTTTGCTAGATAGATATCTGTGTAAGAATGCTAGGTCACGTGACTAGACCTTAGATTATATATTGGGCATCCTTTATACTGTACTAATTTCTTAACTGCACCAATAAACCATTTTTTTCTTGATCAGAATGTAGATTCTTTACGTGAGTCATTATGACCTACTCTTTGAAGATAAATTTAGAAATTTATCTTTATTTGCAAGGGGCTATTGAAACGTCATTCAAGATTCGGGTTTACATGCAATATAAACGGGCTAGAGACACCGGAATAATCTAATAATAATTTAATGCCTTTAAGCTTCGGAAATAATCTTGCCAAAGATATCAGTCATGGAACATTTCACCTCTGGCGTCGATACACGCGATGTTTAGGGAAAATTTTCCCGTGACTGATACGGATATTCCAGATTTAGGATCATGTTTGGAATTTTTTTTTCATAGGGTATGTATCGAGAATATCTTATACTTATCAAATTATGCACCTGTCCATTCTTAATCATCCTAATTAGAGTAGAACTTTGGATGTATTGTATCCAATTTTATGGGAAAGGGGTTGCCCTATTCAACAATATGCAGTGAAAGGTGTTGGACACGTTATTTAACTAAATTCATTTAAAAGGTGATAAATGTTCCGAGGGGATTTTTATAAATTCAGGAAGCCCATTTATTTTTATCCTGCAAAGCGTATCGTATTGCGAACTAAACATACTACATAAACTGTATATAATTTGCATCACCCATTTTGATACACTAACCCAATATTGCAATATAAAAGGCAATTATTTTCTTTATATAAAATACTTTATTTTATGAATCTTTATCGTGATCTTTTCTTATGTAATTTGATGACTTTATAATTAATAATCAGGAACTTAACCGTGTAATTATTTTTTATAATTAACTATAAAAAAATTAATAGACAAAGAACTTATTTTAACTACTTATAAAAAATTTTGTATCAAATAAAAAAGTAATTGTATAAAATATTAATACTATTGAAATTTTCAATCTCATTTGAATTGATATAATTATCGTTATTTAAACAATAATAAATTATTGGTTTTTTAATTTACAATTAATCAACTTGAAAATATTCTTTATTATGTTAACTACCTAATTTATTTAATTATTTTAAAGAATGAAAAATTAAGCTATCGCTAAATTATAGTAAATGATCTTAATAAGAATTCAAAATAAAATTTACAGTAATAACTAGTAAGCATAAAACTTTATGGTTAAATAATAATTCAAATATAAAGAAAGCAAAATATCATTTCCTAAGTTGTATTTAAAGAAGATAAACTTCAATAACAGGTGAGTAATATGTGAAAATCATTTGAATTGTAATTATTTCTTTTAATACTTAATAAAAACAAGGCATATTAGTCTAATGGTGAATTAAAAAAGTAATTTCAAATAAAATTAAAATTATATTCTATAAAAATAGAAATAAAAAACAAGAATAAAAAATTTTTTTAAATAATCAATTATTTAAAATATATTATTTAATAATTTCTTTTAGATGAAAAATCTTTATTATTCAAAATACTTATTATATTTCCATAAATTAAATTATAAAAAACTATTTTTCTTTAATTTTAAATAATGATTATTTGATTTAAGTTCAAAATTAAATATTGTTTATAAAATATAAAATATTTTTTAATTATTTAATAATATTTTTTTTGAAAAAATATCTTTAAATTTAATATCTTTTATAGATTTTATAAATTTTTAAAAAAATTTTTTTAAAAAATTATAGTTAAAAAAAGTTATATCTAAAAAAATCTCCAAAATATTTTTAATATTAAAGTTTAAACTATATTAAAACAATATAATAAAGAAATATTACTATAAATAAACTCATTAAAACTCTTTTTGCTAATCCTCTTTTTTTAAAAAAAATTCATTTTTTGGTAATTTTCTTAAAAAATGTGTATCTGTCTAAATATATAAGAAAAAACAACATATTCTTCAAACTTAGCTATCAAGCACTTTGGATACATATATATTAAATTATCCAAAAATAAAAAATATATATCTCTTTCTATTTTATTAATATTTTTACTTCCTTTTCTTAAAAATTTTATAAAATAAAGAAAAATGATCTGTAAATTAATTTATAATTAAAAAAAAAAAACCAATATCAACTTTACATAGTTTATAGTCAGGCCAGTATAGATTAATACCTTTTTTGATACTGCAAAGAATTCAAAAAAACAACTAAGCTTATGTGATAAATCAAGTTACTTCAATTACTTAAAGACCCAGGAAGATATTAAAGATCTCTAAAAATAAAATAAACCAAATGTATATACAGTATATATATATATACGAATACATAAACAATATATAATATCTATTTCCTATCTTGTCATGCAAATATAAATACATAAAAAATAAATATAAAAGTAACAAATAAATATATATATATATACAGTATATATAACTTGTAGTCTAAACAAGTTGATTAATGTTTTGAGAAAAAAAGGTTATATTAGTAAAAAAAGAAAAAGGATATATTATTGCCATCAACATGCTTAAGAAAAGAAAGAAGATCTATATTATACAAATTTATATTTCTTCCAATAAACTAAGATATAAAATGGTACAGAATAAGATAACCAATCTTATTAAAAGAAAACATGAACAAGGCTTTTATGCAATAGTAATAGAAGACTTTAATGCAGCCTAAAACTTATCGGAGAATAGAAAGTCTTCTTCCAAAACAAGTTTCAAACCATTATAGTGACCTGAAATCCCATTATTTAATTTTCTTGATAAATAGGATTTTATAGATATACAAGTCACATGGGAAGGCAAAGAGAAAATATCAACAAAGAAAAACCTAACAAGTAGTAGTATAATAGACTAAATTTAGATTTCTTTTAGTCTAACAAATTATCTACTATTCCAATTCAATAATCAAGACATAGAAAATATTACAAGGAGTGATCATACCATGCTTCTAATAACACTACATGACAAAGATCTTTTCACAAGAAGTAGAATGACAAAATCCTTTACAAATATATTAAAGAGAATTGATATAAAGAAAACATCTCCATTACAATGGCAAGCCTTTTAGAAAAGTGTAGATCACAAATTTAAAATATTATTAAAATCTTTGCTTCAAGAAGAATCCAATTAAGATAAAAAGAAGGATCAAGCAAACAAACTGTGAAAAACCTTTGAGAAACTGTTATATAAAGCAGCCTTTAACAAATTGACAACAAAAAAAATACTCCAGTCAGAAGAAAAGCATTACAAATATAGTGCTGAATTTATTAGCTATAGAAATGTACTACAATTTAAAGACTTTACAATAAAGTAAAAACATCAAAAAAAATAGATAAGCTACAGATCCTTAGCTATAAAAAAATATAATAGTATTTATAATTCAAATCATCAAATCAAAAATTATTGCACCTAGTATAATATTTCTAATATGCCA